GGGCTGGGAGCGCTGGAGGTTGCTGGTTAAACAGGAACAAGCCGCGGCGGCCTCCCCGGTCCTGCCCTGGGGACTCTGACCCCGCGGAGGCAGAGCCCGGCAGCCCCACGGCCGCGGGGACGGAGCCGGGGAGGAGCAGAGCAGGATGGAGCCCACCATGGAGCTGGCAGATGATCCCAGGTAGGTGCCAGGGACCCCTGTGTCAATGCACAGGTTGTCAAATCCAACTTTTTTTTTGGAGCAGGATTTTAGATGATTGCCTCTGCAAAGGAAGGGAGGCACTTAGGGGGTAAGGTGAGGGGGGCAGGAGACCCCAGGGATCCTGCAGGGCTGGGTGCCCTCGTGTCCACGGTGGTCCCGTGCAGCACTCACCTTCTTCTCTGCAGGTTCCCACGCCCGTTGGTGGAGATGCTGATCAGGAACTTCAGCGTGCCAGCAGCCTGCTTCTCCCTGCCGCCCACCTCCCGGCAGCAGCTGCAGCGTAGGTCCAGGGGGTTGGGTGGGGGGTCCCTCCTCTCGCCCCTGGCAGGAGCAGGACAGGGATGAGGAAGGTAGGGAGCAGCCCCGAGGAAGGGGGAAGCAGGGGAGGGCTGCCTGGCTCTCGTAGCTCTCCCTGCAAGGATGGAGGCAGCCCAGGGAGGGCCAGCACGAGGGCAGGTGACATGGGACACAGAAGCAGCAGGGCAGAAGCACCAGATCTGGCACAGCCAGACATACCAAGGGGTTTCCCAAACCTGTGGAGTGGTGGGCTGAGTAGCAGCTCCCTGCCCTTGCAGTCCCAGGGGAGACAGGAGGGGATAGATCTGGCTTCTCACCCCTCCCTGGCAGAGCTGGACATGGCCCAACTTGCCATCCTGGGCCTCGCCACCATCATGACACTGCTGTCGGTCGCAATCTTCATGGAAGAGGCTTTCTACCTCACCCACAAGATCCGCTGCCCCATCAAGATGAAGACCCTCCGCTGGAGCAGCTCAGCCCCCACAGTGAGCTGGGGTGTGGGGGGCATCACCCCGGGGACCCAAGGGTACCCAAGAGGTGCCAGCTCATGGGAGGGGGGAGCAGCACTGTGCCAAGCTTCTGTGTCCTCCAGGTTGTGTCTGTGGTCAGCTGCTTTGGGCTGTGGATCCCACGCTCCATGATGGTGGTGGAGATGGCTACCACGGCGTGAGTATCACCTGCCCCAGGGCTCGGGCAGTAGGGAGCCCATGAGGCCTGACCTGCCCTCTTCCTCCTTCACAGGTACTTTGCTGTCTGCTTCTACCTCCTGATGCTGGTCATGGTGGAGGGCTTTGGGGGGAAGGAGGCGGTGCTCAGCACCCTGAAGGATGTGCCCATGGTGGTCAGCACTGGGCCCTGCTGCTGCTGCTGCCCCTGCCTGCCCCGAATGACCATGAGCAAGTGAGGGAGAGCTGGGGTAACCCCCTGGCCCTGGGGAGGGCTTTCATCCCCTGCTTCTGCAGAAGTGGAAGAGAAGACTTTGGGCAGGGGCTTGGGGACCTCAGGGCTCTACTGGTCTCTGTTGCTGTGCCAGGAGGAAGCTTCAACTGATGATGCTGGGGACTTTCCAGTATGCCTTCTTCAGGGCAGTTGCTGTCTTCCTGGGGCTGGTCCTGGCTGCCGATGGGAACTACAACCCTGCTGATGTGAGTGTCACGGCATGGGGATGGGCAGGGTGACGTGGACAGGATGTCCACCTTGCCCAGCAGCTTAGTCAGCCCAGGTGCATTTTCTCTGTGTCCTTCCCCAGATTTCGGCAGAGAGCGTGGCCCTCTGGATCAACACTGTGGTCGGCGCCTCCACCCTCTTTGGGCTGTGGGCTCTGGGCATCCTCTTCCGGCAAGCTCGGCTGCACCTGACTGAGCAGAATATCAAGGCCAAGTTCCTCTGTTTCCAGGTGAGCTCTTGTCCTGCCTGGCTCCCCTGTAGGTGAAGGGACTCCTCTGGTGCAAACACGATGAGGAGATGTGGGGGGAGATGGTGGGGCAGGAGCCAGTTCTGGCTGTGGGAGAGCAGGAAAGGCAAAGGACAGGAGCCTGGCAGCAGTGTGGCCCCACCACCCTGGCTGTTGGTTGCAGATACTCCTCGTCCTGACGGCACTGCAGCCAGCCATCTTCAGCATCCTGGCCAACAACGGCAGCATCGCCTGCTCGCCGCCCTTCTCCTCCAAGGCCAGGTCACAGCGTAAGTTGGGAGATGGGGCAGCAGCGTTGCCTGCTCCCAGGAAAGCCCCTCTACTGCACAGCAGGGTGTGGGAAATGGTCATGGTGGATGAAGGTGGCTTCAAATTACTCCTCTTCCAGAGATGAACATGCAGCTGCTGATCCCACAAACCTTTATCTTGGCTGTGGTGACACGGATGTACTACCGCAAGCAGGATGACAAGCCGGGCTACCAGCCTGTCAGCTTCCCACCCGAGGGCACCAATGTCAAGGCGTGAGCAGGAGGAAGCAAAGGGAGTGCTGAGGCGCAGAGCAAGGCAAGGGGCTGGTCTGCCCTCTACAGCTTTCTCCTCCTCTGGCCCTGGGGAGCTGCCGGCAGCAGAGGAGGCAGAGGGGAAAAGGTCACCTTGAGGTGGGGTGAAAGGGTCTGAAACCTGAAGGCCACAAGCCAAAGGGTGGCCACAAAGCCACCTCTAGCCCAGGGGGCTCTTGTCTGGCACTGAATAAAGATATTTGTACTCAAGTCTTGTCTTGGTGACTGGCCTCTGATAATCTCCTGCCTGGGCTGGCAGATGGGGTGGGAGATGACTCCACACAGCAGGAGGACACAGTCCAGCACAGCCCTGGCGTGATGCTGTCATGGGGTGCCCAACACCAGCCATGACACTAACCTCTGGGTGCTGCTGGCTGGAGTCCAATGGTCAAGACAACACCAGAGCAGTGGTGTTTTATTTGGAGACCTCTGTGTGGGTCTGGCTTGTCCCTGGGGCACATCCTGAGAGAACAGAGGGAGCATCCACACCCCATCAGCCTGGGGTCAGGGAACGGGAGGAGCCTTGAAGCACCTTCATTACTGGCAATTAGTTAATGCTGCCTTAACCAGCCTTGTCCAGGATCTGCTCCAGTAGCAGTATCTGCCCAACACCTACAACACGGACATCAGGCACTCAACACTCCAACAATGAGGTATGTGTTTGGGAAGAGGTTCTTCGCTTGCATCAAGGCCCGGGCATGTCCAGAATGAAACAAGTCAAATATTCCATCTGCATAAACTCTGACTGGACGATCCACTGCACCAAAGAGACATAGACACACTTATGAAGATGCCTTTCTGGAGAAGCAGCTGCTCGTGCCCACGTTTGGGATCTTCTGAAACTCATGGGGGTGTTGCAGAAAACTGGCAGAATGCCAGCACCACATCTACCACATAACCATCAAAACAAGGTGAAAGGAGACCCAAAGGGAAAGTAAACCCTGAACACCTCCCTCCTACAGAAATCCAAATGCAGCATTAACTTTTTGCACAGCAGTGAGCTACCAGAGGGGAACTGGCCAAAATGTCTCCTAAGCATTTGATCTTTTCAGCATCCTCCTCTGCAGCCACTGCCACAGCTACCACTCTGGCTGAGGAACCAGACTGTTCTGATTTCCCACCAGCAACAGTGGCCAAGGACCTGGAGATCAGAGACTGCAAAAGCTTGCTGTATGCCAGAAGAGGGCTGGTCCTGGGAGGCCTTTTATTATAAAGTGCAGTCATTTTCTGGAAATGTGCTGGGACATCCTGCCCTTTTCCTCCGCACCTGAAGCAGCTACAGTTCCTGAGCACAGGCATAAACAGCAACAAGGAAGCATGCAGTTTATTTTAGTCTTAGCAGGCAGAAGAGCCATCACCTGCCCAACACCTACAACACGGACATCAGGAGTGATGATAATTTGCAGAAACCTCTGTGTTATCTTCTTCCCCCCACTGAAGCATCTTCTCACTCAAGCTGCTGCTAAGACTGCAGATCAGGATACCACTGTGGGAGCCAGCTGTGCTTGGATGGGCAAAGGCATCTGGAACACACTGAGCAAAATGACTGCATTTATTTGGCTAAACATAAAAGCCAAAACCTCAGCTCCAGAACAAGCCAGTAAGACACATGGTGTGCACACCAGCACAGCAAACACTGGAGGTGATGCCAGGGCCAGAGGTGGGCAGCAGATGCCAGACCATCAGTGCTAAGATCAGTACACAATCATTACCAACACAACTTTCAAGGCACCAGCAGGAGTGCTGAGGCCCAGCAACCTCATGGTTTTGCCAAGCAACACCCCAGCAAGCAGCAAAACACAGGACTCATCCTCCCTTCAGACAACCAGACCCAGCTCCTTACCTACAGCAAGCAGGAAACCCACACCTTCACAACAGGGAGCCCCTGGCAGTGAGAAGCCCACCCTGAGGGCAAGGGCCAAGACACAGGGTCTGTCCCACCAAAGTCACTGCTACTGCCAAGTGAATTTGCTGCTCCACCACCTGCCTCTGGTTACAGGAAAAGATTGCACAATAAAGTCCCAACCCTCTATAAAATGCACAAAATCATGTCAGTGCACGTGCGTGCCATAATTTCCTCAAGAGATGAAACGTGTTCTCCTGCAGCTCTACGCTGGCCCACGTTCTTCATGTCTTGCTTCCACCCAACATTTCTGGCACCTTTAAGCTTTGCCCTGCTGTTCTTTGCCACCAGAAAATGCTCTCCCCAGGTCTGGCTGCTGGTGCCAGCAGCCTCACACCCCAGACCTACAGAGGAGCTAGGTAGGCCTGTTTTGCAGGAGTCTTGCCTCTGTATGTAGCAGCATCAAAATCCACACTTTCTTCAAGGCATGCTAGTGAAGTTTTATTTTTCCACTTGAACTCTTCATGTTTAATTCAAGCATGTCTCTTTCAGATGCTTCATTTGAAGAGTGTGGGATGGGTTAGGGGTGTGCAGGACAGCCCTAGAGCAGCAGGACAGGGTATATCTGTGGTTAACAAGATGTTCTTGGAGAACCTGGCTCATGTGTTTTGCACAAAGATCAAGCTCTGTCCTATTCCTGAAAGGACAGGGCAGTGCTAGAGATAAGGCTGGTCCAGCAACCCAGTAGGAAACAAATAAAACAAGGGATAAAAAGTCTGAGATTTGAGTTTTCAATTTAATTTAAGTGCAAGGAGGAAGCAGGGATTATTGGTTACAAGAAACAGCTCTGTTATTCCAAGCTACATGTAAAACCATGGCTGGCTTCTTACCAAGCACCCTGGGTTTTGCAGACACCAAGAAATTCTCTAAGGTCTCTGTAGAACGAATCAGCATTCAAAACACCATTGTTACCCAAATTTACAGAACACTGTTGCATAACTTGTGTTTAAAACAGTAGTAAGGCTCTAAAGCAGCCTGGCCTTTGTGATCCAGCTCAGGAAAGCAACATAATACCCATACTGAGGGAAGGGTGAGGATGAGGGAAGAGAGAATGTGAGTGATGTAAATTAAGTGTTCTAGCACTCATACACCAGGGGATTAACAACTGGCTTGTACCAAGTCACCAATATTTGCTCTTTGCAGCTTAAAATCCATAGCAGCCAGCCACACTCCCAGAGCTGTGCACATCCCTGCTAAGAGAGGTCCAAGTGACAGATGAGGAATCCTCAAAATACCCTTTTCTGTATGGGCTCTGGCCTCAACAGAAGCACAGAGTCTCTGTCAAGCCCTTTGGGCAGTATGACAAATGATCAACAAGATAAAAGCTAGGAAGAAGTGGCAGCCTGCTCCTACCACAGGTCCCTGGATCCCCTGGGAAAATCACACTGTGCACAGTCTGAAGCAGCACTTGATGATTTGCCTCCTTGCTCCTCAAGCCCTGTATCCAGTTCTGAAGGCCTTCCTGCAGTATTGCTCCAAGCTGTCCTCCTCTGCTCCCAGCATCTCAGGAGGATACAGGCAACTCAACCCAGCAGCTCCACCCAGAGACAACGGATCTCACAGGCAAACCTGAACAGAAAAGCAAGCTGGAGCTTCACAGCTACAGGACAGCAAGACCAATCCCTCCAGCACTGGCTGCCATGACAGGGCATAAAGCTCAGCAGCTATTACAGACACAACAGCAGCACAACTTGGACCATGGTTTCAAACCAGCAGACAACATGTTTAAAATCTGAAAAAGCTGTAGCACTCTCTGGTGCTCTTCCTGATCTGCCTCCAGGAGCAGAGTGGGTGGGCCCTGGGTTGTGCACTGGCCATGGAAGCCAGGTAACTGCCCCACAGGGCGGGACCCTCGCAGGGGTAAAACGTGTGCTTCACCTGTGCAGCTGCACACACCAACAGGGACACCAAACTGGCTGCACGAATTCATGGTTTGTCCTTATAGCAGCGGCTTCACGGCACCAGTGCCAAGGGCTGTTCCAGCCCTTAAAGCACAGCGACTAAGACACAGACAAACACGCACAGAGCACAGTGTTGAGGGGCCATTTGGACAGACAACAAAGCTTACTACACACCAGAAACTGGGACAAGGAACTTCTTGAAGAAGGACACACATTCATTTCCTACCTGGGCTCTCACACACCCAAGGAAATGCAGAGACAGCAAGAGCCCTGAAGCAAAGACTCATTCTCTTCTCTCCAACAGCAACTAAGGGCTGAATTTTAGCTCAGCATGTAGCAGTCTTATTATCTGGAAAGGCCTTTCCCCTGCAGCTTCCATACAACATGGAGCTGACAATTCTCGGAGCTTACGGGGTGTGCAACTCTATGGTGCTGTGAGTTCTTCCAGGGTGTAACTCCTGTGTGCTAAGCTGGTAGCCCCTACTCAGCACATCCTCACAGCGACACGCTGGGAAGCTCAGCTAAGAGTCACGTGAGCACTACAGGGTCTGCTGGATAGATTCCTATCGGCTCCAGTGCAGCAGAGATGTCTCTCTTTCCTAGAAGCCTCCCCACACCACCATCTCCTGCGTGCTCTTGAGAAGCCAAGGGGTCTTTCCTTTGGCAGAGGCACAGGTACTGCCTGGGGGTGGGGGGAATAAGACAGAGGAGCTGAAGGAAAGAAGAGACAGATGGGGTCTACCCACTCTCCCTCCTGCCTGGAGGTTTAACAAGGGAAAAAAAACAAAACAAAAGCCACACTTGAGTGCTATCCTTTGCGCTTTAAAAGAGTATTTTCTTAAAATATAAAAACCATCTTCTCCCTGGAAACCACTAGAACGTAAACAATAAAAAGGGAATTTGGGGAGGAGAAGGTAGAGGAGGTTTGAATGTGCTTCCAGGCAGCAGCCCTTGCTAAGAGCAACGGGTACCTCTAAGGCCCTGTGCTCACCGTCAGCCCTGTTCCTATGGCTCTCTTGCTCATTTAGAGTTCCCCAGTGGGTCTGGACTTAGGATTCAGTGATTAGCAGGTCGCAGCAAATCCCAGCCAGCAGCTTAATCCTCTTCATCCTCACTGATGTCATAGGTGACTGCAGACTCGTTCCTGGAGCGGTTGGCAGGTGAGGAAGGAGGAGTCTTGGTTGAAAAGGGCCAGCGGAAGGAGGGAGACGGGGAGCGGTCGTGTGTGGGGCTGCTGCTGGGACTCTGCTTGGGGCTGATGGCCTGCAGCATCCGGCCCTTGCCCTCCTTCAGCATGTGCTTCTACGGGTGGAAGCAGGAAGACAGTTAGCAAGGCTCAAACAGCAATGGAAATGGACACTACTCACTGCCTGTGCTGCATTTTGGGTTGTTGTGTCCCTCCAGGGTTTCGTGCAATGTAAGAACAGAAAAAGCCCAACTACCGGTGGAGGCTCTGCAGGCCACACCCAGTGTATTCACCACCCATTTTCAAGCACCTCTAACACAAACTGCCTCAGGTTTTTTCCCAGCAGCACAGGAGAGCCTGGTAAGAACAAGTAGCCTCAGACTCATCCCAAGCCAGTGACAAAGTGACTGTCAGTCCCTCTTGGCTGCTCAGTGGCCTCTGTGACACAAACTGGAGTTGACAGGCTGGCCTGTGGGACATGGGGACTTTTCATGCTGCAACCGTAACTGGTGTTATCCAGCTGGCAAGGGTGAGGGCACCCTGTAAACAACCTGCCCATGCCTGAGATAACTTCTCTGGAGACTGGAAGCACATCAAGCACTACAACAAACTGTAAACCTTTGCTCTGCAGACCACAGGCTCCAGAAGACCTACAATGACTGCCAATCTCTCTGAAGTCCCCCTTCCCCTTTTCCCAGACCAGCTCCTTACCAATGCGCCTTCTGGGCCAAACATCTCCAGGAAATTGCCAATGAACTCTCGGGACTTCTCTTCCCACTTCTGTATGAGATCAATGCTCTTCTCCTCCACTTTCTGGACAAATTCCTTTGACTTCTCCTCCACGTCCTTCACCCTCTTTTTCACCTTATCCACACGCTCCTGGAGGTGATATTTCTTCTCCTGTACAATAAGAGGTGGATCAGAATACAGCTCACCAGATCTGAGTGGTGACCACCTCTGCTCTGTGTGAACTGCTGCTTAGGAGTCAGCATCTCCATTAGTCTTGTGACACTTCTCCTTCACTTCAGTGACACTTCCACTCTAGACTAAACGGCAGACAAAGCAGGACTGAGAGATGCTTTGTGGCAGGCACTGGCATGGGACACAGAGAGAGACTAAACCCAGAGATAAGCACTATCTAATAGGAGTGCATGGAACAGGGAAATATTTATACAATATACAGATTAGATTTGAGTGACCTGCTGCATCTCTCTTTGAATATCACAAATCTTTTTGCTTGGTGTTTCTAAACAGAGGCAGAGTTACATTCCAAAGAGAGGTCAAGCAGCCATTACCTCTCCTGTTTCATTTTTGTATTTGACTGTATTTAAAAATATTGGCATCCTATCTGAGTGATAATAAAAAATGTTTATTACTTCACTTCTAACATCAGAAGTGCCTTCTGGCATGTACTCTGCTTTTAGGCTGCTCAGCACAGGATCAGGGCATGTCCTTCTCTCCTGCCCAAGCACTGCTGCTCCTGCAGCTCCAGGAAGGGAATAGTACAGTGACAACAGGATCAGATTTTATCCTAACAAATGACTACCTTAAGAAGGTGGCTGAGGGAACAGGAAAGAGATGAGACACAGGAGCTGCTGCCAAGAACAATCCACACTTCATTCAATTCAAGAAAACACACATTTTGTCACACACCCTGTCTCCAGCTCTTTCAACAGGTAAAATGTCACCAAGACATTTCTGACAACGGAGCAGTATTAGCTAAACCCCATTTCCTCTGGGTGGGTCCCAAATGCAGTTTCAGGGGTGGAAGAAGTTCAGTTTCTACTCCAAGGACACCGGCTTGGTGCAACAGCTTAGCTCTGCAGACTGGCCATTTACTGGCATACAGCAGAACTGTGCTATCACTAGACTTGACTCCACATCTCCACACTCTGTAAGATTCTGATTAGGGCAGCTTGTGATGAGACACACTTCAACTCACGTTGATGAAGCTGACATTGAGCTCCTTAGCTGTGTAACCCCTCTGCAGGTTCCGTCTGGCATAAACATCATAGTCCCGCACAATCCGGGTGATGATATCGGATGTTGAGATCCCCTCAGTCCTTTGAGTTGGTGCAAACATGCCTAAAGTTGGGGAACAGGACCCAGGACAGCTGTAGCAAGACACATGGCAAAAAGCTGCTGCCACCTCTATTAGGTAACAGTCTCTCCTGTTAAGAGCTCATCTCCTAAATATCCTCACATCAACACATCTTTGTCCTTGAACGTCCAACACCAGAATCCTCCTTTCTGGGACTATGAGGAAGGCCTAAGTAAGACAAAGCAGGTCAAAACTGCATCTTCTAAGGAAAAGCTCTTCACCTTAGCTGGTTTAAAGACTATTGGCTACAATCCACCGCACATATAATAGTGTGGTGACAAGGACAGGACAAGGGTTCCTACACTTTAATGGGTGGAAATATAACAAGCTCTGGTGGCTGGGTTTGGATAGATTTAAATAAGATGCACCCCCACTGAGCTTTACAGTAAACAGCTCAAGGAGCAGCTTTGCTAAGTTCATGAGACTCTCCATTTGTGAGATTCTGTAAGTCAAACTGTAGCTGTTAATTCCATCAGAGTAACTAGACTGGAAGAGGGAATTAATGCTGGGCTATGCGTGGCCTGGGACTTGGAACATGGAAGAGTCCCAGCCTTATGAAGTAGGGCCCAAAGCTGGGCTTCTCCCTGACCTCAGAGGCTCCTGGGCAGACCTTGCTCCCACGGGGCCACTGCCACTTCCCCAGTCATCATCTTGCCACACAGGAGGCACAGAAGACACTACAGCAGATCTTTGACAAGAAGCCCTGGAGTATTTGACCCAGACCCACCTGCTTCTTTAATATGCTTATAAACATCATCACTGCCAGCAGAAGAATAGGGGATGTCATCGTGTGCAACAAAATCGATCTGAAAATTAAGAAAGCAAAGCAAGTCACCGTTTTACCTTGGACATGCAGGTCTCTTAGAGGATGGTAACTTCTTGCTCAACACCTCCACTCAGGGGTGTCATAGAGAATAGCAAGACACTTTGCTCTTAAAAAGCAACACAGAGCAGTCCCAAGTTCTCACTGGCAATTGCTTATCAGTTGTAAGCACACACCAGAGGGGAAAGGCTGTGACTAAGGACACAGCTGTTTTAAGCTCCACAGAGAAATGGCTTGTTAATGGAAACAAGGGTAAACTAAGCAAATGCCCCTGGAGACTCCTTCACCTCCCAAAGCTGTTTAACAGATGTTAGAGACTCCTTTCACTTTATCTTACCAACTGATAAAAGACTCTTGAGACAGCTTGCCTGGTCTCCTGCTGCAAGAAGCTGATCTAAGCTACTCCTGCTGTAAGCAAGGAGTTGAACCAGATGACCTCCAAAAATCCCTTCCCACCCATGCTGTCCTCTCCCTACTGCATTTCACATTCATTTGTAACCAGCATCAACTACTCCTGGAACAGTGAGAACCCTCTCAGGCTTTTTCACCATGTCACAATCTTTCCCTTATTTTAACATTACTTGCCAGCTCAGCAAATGCTTCTAGTCTCCCAAGAAACCTACTTGATTCCCAATACCCAGCTCATTCTACATTTAAGGAGTTCAAACAGAAACTGGTTGCTCAGGCAGAGGTCATCCCCATGGATGAATTCCTGCTGTAAATAGCAAGCACAGACAGAGGCTAACCACAAATCAGGACGGATCAGGTGTCACAAATTACCCTGTGCTCTGCCAGGAACTCGGGGGTGAGCGTCCACGGCGCGTTCCTCACCACCTCGTCCACGTAGCGACAGTGCTGCACAGCGTCGTACCGCTCGTTCTCGTTCATCACCGTGAAGCCCTTGAAGTTGTGGGTTAGCTCATCGCTGCAGACTGAAGAAAGAGGCACAAAGAGTGAACTTGAGGTACTCACCCCAATGCTTTACAGCCACGGGACCTTGCACACACTCCTGCTAAGCCAGGCAGTTCCAGCTGCTGAGGGAGGCTCGCACTGGCACTTTCAAACTCAGCTCTTCCCACCACAAAGCACCAGGAACAACTTCCTGAACAATACCAGGCAGGCTGTTTGGGGGATTTCTTCCCAAGCTGGAGACGTACACCCCAAGCCTTCAAGGTCTCTGGAGCCTACAATGCTTATCAAGAAAACCAGCAAACACAGAAGAGAACCCTCCTGTATGAAATGGCACCTGCATGACTATTTATCAGAAATCTGCTTTTAAGCCCATGGATGTCTCAGGCTTGGAAACTGAAGCCTATGAGAAAAAACAAAAAACACTGCCTAAGTGTCCAATTTCATAAAATGCCATACCACAGTCTAGGTCTTGGAAAGTTGGATTAAAACAAAAAGTGAAATCACAGCAAATTAAGTCAGCTTAATGCTGTGAGAAAGCAAATGGACAACTTTTCATGATCTGCTATGTAAGACACTGAGAAAGAGGGAGTTTTATTTCATTATCAGACTCAAAAGTAAACAGGGCATTACCAGTCTCACTGGTATTGGATGTATTTACGTTCTAGAAAAACAGATGATAAAGAGTGGGTGAGATTGCTCCCAGCTTGGAGCTGATGTTCACTTGGGCTGTGGCCTCTCATCTCTCTCAGTTCCTGGTGGGAGGGGAGCAGTTCATTGCCCTCCATGCCCTCAACAATGTTCCAGAGGCAGTGAGCACGATTACACCTTGCTACATAAACATGTTAATAGTTTAACCTGAAGTTGCTTTCCTGTCTGATGTACAATTACATACATGGGGAATGTTCTGCTTCCAAGTTTCTAAGCTTAGAGTGTCTTGCACATTCAAGTGACAATTTCAGCTCTCCTTCTTACCCTCCCCTCAAGAAACTACTGTAGCACACACAAAAAATGCAGAAGTACCACTATAAAAATGCCCTCAGCAGGTAATGAAACCGTGATATGGACGCAAACCACAGAAAGACGTTACAATTGCTCTATTGCAGGGTTAGTTTCATTTTTGTCCAGGAAGTGAATGGTAGTTGAGAGAACTAGTTAAAGGTATTCTCAGGTCTGATAACATCATTATGTAGCCTGACCAGAGGTCACCTCCTGATGGACACCATGCACAGCCTGACATGCCTTTAAGGCAGGTGAAGGTACAGGCACAGAGGCACTGCTTGGAGAAGGGCCAGCACATGACAGCAGTCAGAAGAAATGGTTTCTTCTTTGTCATTACATTCTGGAAGGAGGTCTGGCTGAAGCACCTCTGCTAGATCTCCTCAGGCAGTCAGCAGGATACTCCTGGCACAATTTAAAGATAAAATGAGGAACTTCTGTTTCCAGAACTGGGACCAGGCACAATGGCCAAGGAACAACATGCTTCTAGTGAGACCTTTTTGAGATTCACCACAAGCAATCCCCAGCAGAAAGCTGGAGCTGAGGAGGGAGGAGGACTTGGAAGGTGACACAGGTGCGCACAGCTCAATGAGCCACGGAGGGACTGTTCCTTATTCATTAACTGTCTCATTCAAAAGCCAGATGTTCAAGTGCCCCAAATATATTTTGGTACTCAGATGTGAAACTCACCTGCGCCTGTCACAGAACAGAGGGGTCAGATCAGAACGTGATCAGAAACAATTTCCTCAAGCACCCATTTGGTACAGAGTATCTTTCCACAGACATATTAACTTTCAGTACATTGCAATAAGGCTCCCAACAATGCAGTGAGAGCCACTAAAGCCATAAAGACAAAAACTCTGCCCATGCCATCTGTGTGCACAGCCACACATGGAGATAAACTGTACCCCTATGACAGCCAAAGTCAACAAGGTGACTCCTTACCTCCAACAATGAGGTATGTGTTTGGGAAGAGGTTCTTCGCTTGCATCAAGGCCCGGGCATGTCCAGAATGAAACAAGTCAAATATTCCATCTGCATAAACTCTGACTGGACGATCCACTGCACCAAAGAGACATAGACACACTTATGAAGATGCCTTTCTGGAGAAGCAGCTGCTCGTGCCCACGTTTGGGATCTTCTGAAACTCATGGGGGTGTTGCAGAAAACTGGCAGAATGCCAGCACCACATCTACCACATAACCATCAAAACAAGGTGAAAGGAGACCCAAAGGGAAAGTAAACCCTGAACACCTCCCTCCTACAGAAATCCAAATGCAGCATTAACTTTTTGCACAGCAGTGAGCTACCAGAGGGGAACTGGCCAAAATGCCTCCTAAGCGTTTGATCTTTTCAGCATCCTCCTCTGCAGCCACTGCCACAGCTACCACTCCGGCTGAGGAACCAGACTGTTCTGATTTCCCACCAGCAACAGTGGCCAAGGATCTGGAGATCAGAGACTGCAAAAGCTTGCTGTATGCCAGAAGAGGGCTGGTCCTGGGAGGCCTTTTATTATAAAGTGCAGTCATTTTCTGGAAATGTGCTGGGACATCCTGCCCTTTTCCTCCGCACCTGAAGCAGCTACAGTTCCTGAGCACAGGCATAAACAGCAACAAGGAAGCATGCAGTTTATTTTAGTCTTAGCAGGCAGAAGAGCCATCACTCTTGAAATCAGAGATGTTTGGGCAGGCTCTGAGGACTTTCAGCTGGGAAATTAACGTGGACTCTGAAAAACATTGGATTTCCAGAACTGCCTGCAGGAAACCACTGCCAGGTCTCAATCTGAGCTGGCTGGTCTCTCAGCAGCAGTCAGGCAGGGAGAAGTGTAGCATTTTGATTGTCTTGGTTTCCATAACAGAGAGGCCAAGATAATTTGTACATTCTGGCCAGAGAGGGCAGCCACCCTTCAGTCAGCAGTCAGTCCTGCCTCTGCCTCCTCTTTGGCCTTGCAAAGAGAACAGTGTTTCTCCTAGTCTGGCTTAGAAAATAAAATGTCAGGTTTTTGTTGTGGGGCTGGTTTACTGTGTTTAGTAACAGTGACTTTAATTCAAAACCAGGCTAGAACAGGTCATTCTGGACAAAGATGTATGTTGGTTTACTTCCTCATTTCAAGTTTCAGAAAATATGAATTCTAAAGTATTTAACTTCAAGCTGCCTCAGTCAAATTAGTACAGAGAAATGTTCAGCTCTGACAGTACTCTGTAACTGTCAGTGGCACAGGAAGAGCTAAAACACAAATATTTATTTGCTTTAAATAGCTCCTCACACACACAAGTTCCAATTTCAGTTGTACTGGCAGGCCCAACTTCACATGGGAACAGGTATCTAATCACCAAAGCATTAACTAAGTCATTGGCTGCAAATCTGGTCTGACACACAAGGTTGTTCCAGTCTCAGAGATATCACAGTCCTACCTGCCCCTCCAAACCCCAACATTAACACATTCCCCTTCCAGGCTGGATTTTTACTTACAAGGGGTCCCTCTCATGGCTTCTTCGTATGTCACTCTGATGTATGGCTTGCTGTAGTCGATCTCCACTTCATCTGAAAATGGAGCTGGTTCCCTCAGTCCCTAAAGAGCCAGAGAAGCTCAGATGTGAGAATGGAAAGGGAGGTGCAGTGCATAGCAGCAGCACTGCCACTGCAGTGTCCCAATCACCAAGTGACTCACTGTGTCTCTGCATGATTCAGACCCATCTACTAAAAGACTAATTAGCGTTGAACCTCAAAACAGCCCTGCAGGGTGATTAGCTTGAGTTTACAAAGGAAAAGAAAGAGAAGTAGGGTTAAGAAGATGGTAATAATGTTGGATCCCAGAAAACTGGAGGCTCAGATCTGCAGCTGGTAAAAGAAGACTTGTGACAAGAAGCAGCTTCCAGCAGCACAAGTCACCTTCATCAAACCTCACTGCTGCAGCCCTAGCTCTGCCCATCTGGGCAAGACCATCACTTGGCTGCACCTGAGTGAGTGCCTGGGCTGTGATGTACAAATTGTAACAGCTCCTCCATTTGAGCATATGAACGAGCTGAAGAGCAGTAAAGAGCAGCACAAATTGCCAGGGAATGTCTGTATTATCACCCATTTCTGAGCAATATGGAATGAGGGACTGACCTCAATCTGTGGCAGAGTATCTCCAACTGCTGCAGGTAAACCTCTCTAATCTGCTAGCTTGACCACAGCAACAAGTTCAATCAGCAGCTGAAGTATAGGTATCATTTCTATTCTCTGAATGAAAACAAAACATCTGCCCTTCTTGGAATAAACAGCTACACTTCTTTCTAGCTGGAAGGTGTTGGAGCAGCCAACAGATGTCTCCTTCTTGAGCCAGAAGACAAGGAAACAAGCCTGAAGATCATGACAAGCTGCAAAAAGCTAATCAGGAGTTTCCTCTCTGGCTTCCTGTCCCACTCCAGCATCCTGACATGGTGTCCAGCACCACTACAACCAGATAGACCACTATTATGTCATTTCTCATTAGAGTGAAGTGGACAGGAAAGCAACTTCTGACCACCACATTCACCCAAACTGATACTGCTGAAAATCTCCTTCAGCTTAATGAGGCTTCCATATCCCATGGAATAATCTGCACACTTCTCTTTCAGTACTGAAATGTGGAGTCTTTAAGGGGGCAAGGTGGGTTTTGGTAACAGTCAAGGATATAAAGGCTCTGTGGGATAAGTCATGCAACAGCTCAAGCCTCCATTCCCAGTGCTTGCCTCCCCAGTTCTCATTGATGGTGCTGCTCTTATTTTGTTACCATCTGTCAAATGTTCTGAGACAGGACTGAGGTCTTGCTGAAGTGCAAAACATTGTTATCAAAGAGGAGAGCTTCAACACGTCACTGTATTTTGCCAAGGACTATGACTCCAGTATGACATGGCAGGGATGGAAGCTGGCTTTTGACAGAGATAAGGGAAGACAAGCTAGAGCACACATGACACGCAGGACAGCTCCAGGAAGAGGGCAGAAAAGAGCTGTAAAAAGGCATCACCACAATATTGCAGCAAGGACACTTAAAATCAGCCCTTCACTCTAGCGTTAACTGGCAAAGACTTTCTTTAGAAGAGACCCTCTTTAACTTGTTAAAGCCATGCCAAGGTTGATCTAGAAGGAGAAACCCTTCTGCTTGTGTTTTTCTTTTTTTTTTCTGAACACTCCACAAATACCAGTAACATAAATGCAGTCTCCTGTCAGACCAAGAGAATCAAACAAAAGTCATCTTCCCAGTGTTTCAGAGAGCAGATACAAGAGATTGCTTCTGCAGAGTGCTTACAGACTTCAGACTCTCCTGCAGTTCCCCTGACTTGAACAGGACTGCTTTCTGTGAGGTGCAAGAGTTGTTACATGCTTGTTTGGAGTATTTCTCCCTCCTGCTGGGTCACCTAAGGAAACCCACCTATGAGAAACAAGCCAATCTCCACAGATACCTATATGCAAACCTGTTTGGCTTCAGCTTAAGTGACAAGAAGCAAGCTGGACACACAACAAAAGCAGCTTAGTGATGCTTGCCTCAGACCTAATTTAAGCTCATGTTGTAAGCATGTTATTAGTATGAACAAAGGAAGATTTTTAAACTGGCTTTGCAAGAAGAATAGCTACTGTCATTTGCTTCTTTGTCCCTCCACTTGTTTCCTGCGTCCCTAGAAAAGTCATCACATTATCTTTCTACTGTTAAGAGTTCAATGTCCTAATCTCACAGGCACCTACAGCTCCTATCTCTGCTTACTTACAAGTGAGCGTCGGGACATTTTTGGAGGGATTCCATCCAGCTCTGCTGCCCCGTTAGGGCCAGATCCATCTTTTCTTCTCTTTCGGGAATTCAGCCTGGAGGAGGTCGGTGGCTCCATCTTGCCAAACACGTCCAGTAAGAACTGGAACAAAATGAAGAAGAGGGAGAAAAGGAAAGAAAGAAATCAATCTATTTCTCAGCTTTTCCAAAGCAGAATCAGTCCACAGCAGACACAGTGTACAGAAGGTCAGTGCAAAGACACAGCAACCTCACAAGGGGCTTAGCCAGTTGTATTTGGCATCAGCTGCCAAGGCTTGACAAACAGTGCCTGGTGGGAATACTGAATCATTTAATGCAACTCGGAGCTGTTCTGCAGTGCAAAGTGTGCAGCAGTCAGCTGGCTGGAGGGAAACTCGCACAAGGGTTGCAGTGCAAGCTATAAATCATTACTACAAAGCTAATGATGCTATTTTAGCATCTGAAAAGCAAACTAAGGATTAAGGCATGCCCAGAACACATTCAGCCCTCCCCGAGCTCTCACTCTGTTGAATGCAAGTACTCTTCTACCCTTCTGTGCCTCCCCTCCCAGCCCAAGTCAGCTGGTGGGTTTGCTGCATCCCTGTACAATCCTGAAGAGAGGAAAGAACTGGTTTAAGCAGAAGGATATAGGTGAGGGAAGGGGTGCAACTCGTGGTCATATCTTAAATGGCTTGTTGTTTGCTTTTTTGCTTAAGACCAAGTTGCAGCTCTTCAGTGGGAACAGTTCACCTTGGGATGGCTGCCAGTGTACTGCCCTCTTGTCCCCTGTCCCCACTGCAGTGGTGACTCAGCTGATGGCGAAGCAGCTGCTGACACCACATTAGGGCGCACTTACTTCTGGCGCTTTACATATCCAGTTGTTATTAGTGGTGGTTCAGTTGAACCACTTCTGTGATGAACTGACAGATGGACAACCAGTTTGGGACAGAAATTACCACAGCTATCTGGAAGTAAGCTATCTGTGCTTTTGAGCTGGAGTCATTGTACCTTCCTGAAATGGCCCCAGAGAATTAGGAAACCCAGCACTTCACAGAGCTGAAGCAAAGACAGGGATTTATAGAAAGGCACGGCAGCAAACTTTCCCTTTTCAGCTGATGCAGAAGTTAGAAACAGCTGCTAGATTTGCAAAGTTTATAACTAAAGAGCAGCATTATCTCTCTTCCTCACTTGAAGAGTGCAACAATCCAGTGCACCAACAGGCACTTCTGTCCTGCCACTCCTGAGAGCAGCATGACCCCTCTGCTCAGGAATGATGCTCATGTGCATGCCTTAACGCCCTCATAATAAGAGCCATGTGGAATTAAAAAATGTCTCCCCACCCAAATGCAGTGGGTGTGCTGGAAGACATTAGGTGGGGCAAGTGGGAGGTATGAGAAAGGGCATATGTCCCTCTGAACACCAACCCTCTTCTTGGCAGAGGGTTCCTGCTTGACAAGAGTTGGGACTGTCCTCAGGAAGGGCCACTGGGCAGAGCTCTGCTGTTCAGCAACCAAGACGTGTGGGCTTTGTGAAAGAGCTGTTACAAAGCAGATTGAGTGATCAGACTAACTCAAGCACTAATGACTTCATAACGTGACAAATGCAGTTCAATAACATGACAAAGATACTGCTCTCCCCACCTACCATCAGTGAGATGATATCTTATCAACTGTGTTAGGGCAAAACACAGATTAACTGGTTTTGGGCTACCTTCATGTAAGCATCTCAGACTGCTCTGTTAGACTGAACACAATGCACTAAGAACAGGAAAAGAATCTCTTAGGTGAATGGGAAGCAAAACAAATACTGAGAAGATAAGAGTGACAGTGAAGAGCAGCCAAAAGGACATTTCAGAACTGCATGAGCCACACAGCACTCACTCTGTAATGCTTGCAAGTCAACTTTGCCAAGTTTCCCCCATTCCAGTAATTAATTTACTATTTCCTAACAACAGACAAACATATGGGAGTGTGCAAAAGCCATCTCAGGCAAAAATAGTCTGTAACCCTGAGCTTGAAGTCTTCAAATGCTTAAGCAAACGTTTAACTTTCCAGGCAAGATCTATGCGATAAATGCAGCAGCTTTCAGAGTGGCTCTGTGAAAACACAGGGTATGACACAAGTAATTTTTTGGGTTTGCAAGGTGCCATCTTGCAAGCACATGCTATGTCAGTTATTTACTTCACCACCGTGGTTCTATCAGAAACTGCTCAGTTCATAAAAAGCAGCAGAACTCTGTCTCTGGTTCAAGTAACCCCATTGTTCATGGAAACAGTGGGTGGAAATAGCAGCAGATTTTCCTGTTATTTGGTGAAAATAATTTCCCTGTGCTTCAAAGTCACCTGTTGGTCTCTGACCACTCACTTTCCTTCCCTTCAGAGAATTAAAAGGTCTGTTAATGTGCTGAATGCAGCCATTCTGAACCACCACCCAGCAAAACATCAAAAAGCACTGGCAGAGGCTTGGGTGCTGCAGGACAGACACAGCAGCCTCCACACACAAACAGGTGAACATCTTCCCATGTTCTTGGCCCACCAGAGCAACCAGACTTCTGCACACACAAATACACTCTCTGCTGAGTGCCAGCACCTTGCTGCTGGGTGCAGAGCTCACGGCCAGCCAGAAAACCTCAAGTTAGAGCACAGAGCAACACTGTGCTTTATGCGGATGTACAGCAGCACTGTCTGACCCCAGGAGAAATCCAACAGCTTCTTCCAACCACTTCCAACACCCAGCCACCCACATTCCTCCACCCTAACTCACCTTTCCACTTCACAGGGTATACGTAGTCAAATGATGGCAAAGTGAATGGATTTGCCTTGCATTAAATAAGCAGCAGCAGTCAGACAGCACCAGCCACCCAGTAGCAGCTCTCCCCCAGGTACCAAGAGGGAAACCAGCTTCGAGGATGCCATAAATATGCTCTGTCTGCTCAGGTCTTACAGGCTAGATGTTGCTGAAGGAACCTCTGCAGTGTCCAGAGAGCTGGGCTGGGCACCTCATGAGTGATGCAGCTCTGCTAATTACTCAAATGAATGCAGAACTTAAACAATAATTTTGTGACTCTCAGAGCTCTAAAACATCTATCCTGTGGCTAGTGTGTTTCTGGGCAGTCCTCTGAGCACCAAACTCACCTGCATTAAAAACTGGAAACAAATTGTTTTTAAAAACAAACCACACCTTACTGTGAGAAATCTACTATTCTTAAAATGTTTATTTTTTTATCCAAATGACTAAAATAGCATCCCGAACAACTACTTCCTAAAAATGGGACCCAGCATCTGTAGCTGAGCTTAACACATGAGAACACAGCTTTGCTTCTCCAACTGCACAAAACACTGACTGTTCTAAAATTAATTACCTCTGCAGCAGATGGGGAAGGGGAAGATAACCCTCAAAGCTCATTCTGAAAACCTCCAAGATAAAAACCAGGCATAATCAGAAGAAAGAGCCCTACTGTAAAGCATTAGTATTGTTCTATTTTGTTTAATGTGTCACCCTTCTGCATTACTGAGTCTGTGCTGAACATGAGAAACCTCTTGCTAGGAGCAAAGTGAAGAAGTGCCCTACTGGGGAAAGCCATGGGCAGAGCACAGTCTCAGCAACACTTGACAAAACACTTGGAGCTTTGCTTCTGAAACTGACTCTTTTGGTGCACATTTTATGAAAAAATATATAGGCAGAGAAGGAATTTAAGACTTTTCCCTTACTGTGAGTTAACTACACCATCATCTGAGATGGAATTTAACCACAACATGAAAGTTCACACTTCTGGCAGACTGAGAAGGTCAGAATAGGCACAGCAAATCTTCTTGCTTAGATAGAGGCCTTATCTCACTATGTCTGCATCTTCATGGACAGTCCTGATGTTTTGTTTAGCCCTGGTGGTGTCACAGAACTGCTGCCTCACACTACAGTAGAGCAGCAGACATTTCTGCATGCTAAGCACACTGATGGCATGAGGACCTGGCCCACCTGCATTCTCCATGTTTTATGTCCCAAGGAATTTCTCGAAAAATAGTACTATCTGCAAATCTACAGGGAGTAGCAGGATTTCCTATGCCACTTCCACCACTTCATGTGCTGAGGCAAAACAAATCCTGCTACTGAAATTCCAAGCCTGTTCAAAACAAGAGCTGAGTACAAGAACTCAGTGAATGCTCCAGCCCAAAGCTGCTGCATTTCCCACCAGGGATCCAAGTCAGCAGAAGACTGGCACAGCAGGCCAGCAAGGCCCCTCTGCCACAGCCTCCAGGCTTCCCAAGGGACACTGCCTGCTCCCAGGCTCCCCTGCCATCCCTCTGAACTTGGAAGGCGTTGGCACAGTCAGACGTGACTGTCATGTGCTGCTTTGCCTACAAGATCATTCCACTTTACAGGAACAAGCTGACTCATCTGCAGGCAAATAGTACTAAACTTTGCACTCTGCCAGCTGTCTGCAGAGAAGAACTGCCTTGACACATGGACAGCACCTCAGCGAGAGCCTCAGGGACAAGGAAGTCCTGTCACTTCAGATAATTCCCCTGCTAGGGGTGAAGTACCTAAACGACCCTGCATTCCTAAATCACAGGGAGGGGATAATTCTTTTCCTTCTGTTCTCCCTCACCTCCAACCCACAGTTTACAATTCACCTTACTGATGTGCAAGCCTGTAGAGATCTGTTGTACACAGAGAGACTCAAAGAGGTTAGTAATACAAGACTCATTACATACTCCTTGAGACACTGATGAAAGCCCATGCACAAGATGAGGGTTAACTTGTACATAACTACTGGGAGAGATAGGGTCTCTTCAATCCGTGCTTAAAAAATCTTGCTCCATCTCCAAGGCAACTTCATTCCCAGCCCAGGTTCACCAGGTCCAGCTCTGTCTCAAACTCCAGATTGAGAGCATCCGCTTAAAAACTGAGTGCTGATGGCTGTGAGCCAGCCTGCTCCCCTTCAGAGGGGACTGTGACTTTCCACAGGACGGCTGCTCTCCCCACAGTCAGCATCTGCTTAATCTAGACAGTCTAAGGCCTGAAGCCCCTCACAAAGGTTACTGCAGGATCGGGCAGAGTCCTGTCTACACTTAAAATGACAGGCTGCTTCAGCTAGTCTGGTTGAGCAAAAGCAGCTATCCTGCAGCATATTAACAGCCACTTGAACATATGAAAGAGATTCCAGTTCAGCCAGTGCCACTTACTGGTCTGACAGCATTGAGACCCAGACCTTTGCTATACTGGTTAAAAAGGCCCCAAGCCCTGCACCCCCTACTGCTACAGGCAGGCTGGTAACGTTTCCTCGAGCAGAGCCCGAGCAGGCTGAAGATCTGGAACCCATGTCCTGAAATCAATGAAAAGATGCTGCTTCCCACCAACAAGTCCCAAGTGGCGTAAGATAATTTTCTCTAACATCACCACAACTGAAAACAGTGCAGTGTGACCACCTAGGCAACGCTGCTACAAAATCCACACACACAAAAACTGTTGACAAGACCTTTTCCGTGAATTCACAGCCCTTCTGGGTACATCACAACCCCGAGGCACTGAGCAGCCTGGCATGCTCAGTCTCTGCTGTGGTTAGCAAAGCAGCAAGAGTAGAGTTTATGGAGAATACCAGAGAGCATTTAGAGCCTGCCCAGGAACAAAGAAGTACAAGGACAGGCAATCATTCTGTCCTGACTTCTATGTCACCTTGCATCACGTTTTGTTTTTACAGCTTAACATCAGAGCCTTTTGAGACTTCAAGAGGCAACCTCCCTTAGTAGGTTTACACGTCAATACAAAAACTTTGCTCCCACAATTATTGTGTGTGGCTCATTCTACAGTAATTTCAAGACAATTACAGCCCAAATCTTGGACCAAAATATTTCCAGGTCACAAATTCTAATAATTCTGTATATACAGGAAACTTCTTCTGGAAATAAAGTATGCGTGTTGGCCATTTGAGTTTCAGAAACAAATACGGTGGCTGTTTTCAGGTCCTGGAGTCTTGCAGATGGAATCCCACCAATACCTACTTCCAACCATGCCAGTCTTTGCCTGCAGCTGGGGCACAGGCTGGGGACAGAAGAGGAAAGGCCACCTGCAGCATCCTGCACCTCCCTCCACAGCAAGCAAGCAAGGGCTACTGAGAAACGTGGCAGTCCTCAGAATTCCCGCAGACTTTAACTCTAATTACACAACCATTAATCAGCGCAGTCCGGACTTTGGTGGACAAAAAAAGCGGGTTAGAGAGGATGTGTGCCTGTAGAGCAGCTAGGTCACCCCTTCCCCCTCCACAGCCAGAGCCACCTCCTTGTTGTTCTCCTCTCTCTCCAGGCCTTGGCTGCATCCCCTAAGTGAGGGGATGTACCCCAAAGTCCCCATTCCCCAAGCCCAGGGGGTATACTAGGTAAGTTTTCCAAAGCACTGGTTGCTGTCTCCTCTCAGCCTGCTCCCACTGCAGCTGGTCCTGCCATCCCCTGAACACCATGCCCCACGTTCCCCAGACGGGAAGCAGCACATCGTACCCC